TATGGTGAAGACCATGGAATGCCCTAGCAGAAATATCAGAGGTTTCCAAGACGAATCCATTCGACCAGTAATGAATGACATTCATGAACAAGAGACGAAGTCCTCATGTGGCAACCGAACTAACCCACACATCAATCCGAATACATCTTGGTAAGCCACATAATATGTGAAGTCGAGTTACAAACTAGAAAAAATAATAGATATGTGTAAAAAGGAGTCCACAAGCATTGAACAGAAATATAAGTAAATGTTCAGAGGATCGTGGTTTTCATCAGTTTCCACCACATTTTGATTTGAACGTTTAATTCAACTCAGCATTAGCTACTACTTATGAAATTCTCGGCTCATAAAAGGAGTCGTTGGGCCGTTGTAATGTCGTTGGAAAAAAATTTGCAATCCTTTGTCTTGCTGATGAAGACCTTCACGATCAAATTTTAGTCAATGTGACTGCTCGCTCTCCATCTGTACTTTGAGATATTTTTGGTAAGTGCAACTCATTCTTTAGTGGTAGCTGCATTTTATGTTGTTTTCATCATCTACTGCTGAGCTAGTCAAACCTCCATGCTGTACTAAATTTCTGCTGTCACAGTGACTTTTACTACCTGAAAGCGTTTTTTTTTTGCGACGTTTTCATCTTCAAGACCTAATCAACAGCACACACCGGTCTTCTACGCGATTCAGTCGTATCGTTGTCCTGCTAGGCTCGGCCGTAGTCGTTGTCATTCTCTCCCATCTGGCAGTCTAATTGGTTATTGTGTCGGTCGCAGCTGTCGTTTCCATTCCTGCACTTTCATTCTGCCAGCTGCTTCTCAGTCAGTCGCCTACTCATTCACTCATTCCCATTGCAGCTCCCGTCTAACCTTCCATATCAACACATAGCAGTGATCTTTGTAGCGCCAGAAAATTGAATAGTTACGTTTTCATGAACGCTCTGTAGCTGAACAACGCTAAGACCAACACTACGACATTATGGAGGACTTTCGTGTAATGATAAACTTCTTAAACATTTTCACTTCCATTTTCAGGATTGTCCACTTTGCAGTTTCCTCTCAATTCACAGTATAAATAAGTTTATAAAAGCTCGGTAAACGCAAATTTTTGTAGCCTACCAGACTCCAAACGCCATCATCATAAACACAATTTTTCGTAAGAAAGTTTAATTTTTAATCAGAAACACGAAGGGAATGTTAAAAACATTCGCAACGTGGACTGACGAGGGCTAGTTTCAGACATATTCGTCAGATTCGGATTTTGAAGAATGATTGCCATTAACCTTTCAGTGTTCCTCTTGAGCCACAGATTACTGGAAAGTGGTGGCATATTCGAATGAAAGTGAGCGATAGAGAATTGAGAAATTAGTGAACCACCTATCCAAATATCGCATAGCTTTCTCAAATAAAATATCTTTGCATAAGCTGTTTTTCATTCATGTATAAAACAAATCAACGCTAGATGTTGTCCCGAAGTTTGTGAATTGGAGTCGTTTGAAAGAAATCTTCGTTATTCAAGCAGATAGGAAGTTGTTAACTTGTCTTCCTAACACTGCCACTTCACTTGGACGCAGGACTAACCTGGTTCATGGCCTTGTCACAGTCAACTCAGAGTTTTCCACTGTTAGCAAAAGTATGAAAATCTGACTAGACATGGAATAGAACTAGCGCTACAGGAGATAATGATGCGATAAGAAGTTGTTTCACAAAAACAGTGTTGAGGTGCTAAGCACACACACCAGATTACTTTATTCGCAGTAGTTTTATTGTGAAGATGTTACTTGAATATTTCGTGACACGCATTATAAAATGTAACATCTGCACTTAACACGCTTTTTTGAAACTCACCTAACTTCAACATGATTTTCTTTCTTTGCTCGTTTCCACAACTTCGATCCCAGCCATGGTCTTTTTCAGGAAGCACCCACCATTCCCCGTAGTACTTCAGGTCTCGTATTTATTTCATTTACAACTTTATCATTAGACCTAAGACCATCTTATGAGGAAGTTTTGTCAGGCTATCTCTCTTTACTTTTATGGATACTTAGATAGCTCCTTAAAATTAGTTTAAGAACCCCAATACCTCTGGCCATTGCCTCGTCCTTTTTCTTCCTTTTGGTTATTGATGGAGAAGGTGGTGTGTTTCGTCTGCTAGATGTCGTCTGCCAGTTTCACTCAGTGATTCACATAGATCGTTTCCAGCTGCGAATACAGCTGGTAGACGTGAGCCACAAACAAGACCGCAGATCTCGCATATGTTCGCTCCAGAGCACACTTCTTTCTATCGTCATGCGGTCCACACCGCTCTTTTTTTTTGTTCATATGTCGTACACTATTTTCATCCCATGACTCGCCATTCTAATTCCAACTGGATTTCATAGGAAGCAGCCTGTTATGTAAGTGATAAAAAAAGGATAAAGCTTTCGGCGTTCATCAAACCCTGTGGCCATGCATTCGACATCACTAAGCATCGTTTAGAGGTGATTGAATGCATATCTGGCTTTTACAGTGACTCGCGGTGACCTACTAATGTATTGAGTTAACGATGCTATCCTCGAACACAAGTGTGATACCAATTTGCAGACTCCGTAGGAATGGAAGACTTAGTGGGCATGGGGCGCGGAAATCGATCTCATGTGTTTTCCCGGGCGCTTGTAACCACTGCGCCACAAGCGCCATTCCCACTGTTTATTAGAAAATGTCTTCCCCTCTATGGTCTTTGTAAGTGCTGCTCAAAATTATTGAAATTGCTGAGACAGTACAGCTGAGTCGTCTTCTCAAACCAGAGCCTTGAAAAGCCTTTTGAATTGGACCGATAAACACCGATTTTGTCTACCTCGGTTTTAAGAATCTCAAATATGGTCACTGCTGTTTTTCTTCTTTTGTTCAGTACTCCTTTGTCCTATCTGTTTATTGAAACTTCGAGATAAACGTGCGATAAGTTGTAAGGAAGCAAAACTCATCTATCTCGATTTGCTCTCTATAGTAGTGTTTGATATCCATTTTAATTTGGTGTTGGATAACTGTGCCAATATGCTGTAGACTGTCAAACTTCTTCTTTCAAATGAATAGTAATAAGTGATGCTGTGACCATAGCGATGAGTTCATGTGCAGGATGGGTCCACTTCTCTGGTCAAACTGTTTAGGGAGCCTCTTTTAAGAAGGTATTTTATTGCACGGTTTTTTAGAATCGTTTGTGATTTGTGCCTAGTAAAGTGAAAGAAAGTCGGTCACATTGTTGTTTGACAATAAGTAGCACCCTAACTCATGGTTATCGCCACATATTGTAATCTCCAGGTGGACTTTTAGGGAGTGTATTTTGACATCGGCGACGACGGCTGATTGAAACATTTTCTTCTCTAACGGTAGTTAATGAATAGGTTTGATTTGTACCTTACAACCTCCTTTGTCATAAGAAAGTTTTTTTTTCTTCCGTAGCCTCTGATGGAAGTTCTTTTTGCCTCGTAAATAAATCAAATGTTGTTTGGACATGAAAGAGATTGGACCCATGTGCTGAACAATGCTATGGTTAGGAATCCGTCATCTTTTGTTTAGCAAAATGACCGTTTTTCGCGTTGTAGGTGTTTTGTATAGGCACCTTTTTTCTAAAAAGGATAATGTTCATAGAAAATGTATCCGGAGCATGGAACGCCAGAAAACGCTTTTCAATCCTGTTTCGATTGCCCACTTCAAATTTTTCGATCTTGTATTCAACTTTAGTTGCCTTGCTTATTTTGACGTCATCTTTTCCAACAGCAAATTGGAAAGCCTTTTGCCTGGCCAATTCTTTTATTACAGTAGAATTCCACAGAGATCGCAATTATACACATTTAGATATGCTTTTGCATCAAATGCAGTGCAAAAAGTTCTCGAGGAGTGCTGCCGACTGTGAACCATTAGATCTGACTTTACCAAAGTCTGAGTTGGTGCCTTTATTTTTTTCAATCATTCTTAAATGTGAAAAAACAGTCAGGCCTTAAATGAAAAATAGGAAGGGAGTTGTTCTAGAAGCTTCTAAAACGGTATTCAATGCCTTGCCAGAAAATTGAAGTTTTAATTCATTAATATTACTCCGTCTAGGCTTCTGTTCATCAAGAACACTCCATCTTAAAAGTTTCTTCCAGTAATCCATCTTATCATATGGATTTCGATCCATTTAGGCGCAAAACTGAATCCACTGCCTCTCTCATTCGTGAGTTGACTTCCTACTTTCATATAGATGCGAAAATTTTAAAAATCGACTATCACTAAGCCTCGGCAACAAGAGTCAATAATTTTCTACAAACTTGAGGTGATACATGGTGGTTAGTACAAAAAACATTCGCGTTTTGATATCTTCGCCTCCTCCAAAGCCGGAGTGATCCGACACTCCACAGCTGGCGGTCCCCCCTACGTGGCTGTTAGTTATCACATCGAGGCGAATCCAGTGGAGAAAGCAGCTCTCTAATAAAAAAGTTCACTCTTTGGTGCCTTTTTAGAAGCGAGAATATTGCAAATACGTGCATGACTGCGCTCTCGAGTAGAAAGGTTGCACGCTACACGACTGAAAATCTGCAACAAATGGATGGGAAAAACAGAGTAGGCGATTCAAAGTCACCTTCAACAATAAAACAATGCTTCTGTTTCAGGACAGGACGTGGATAGCATAGTGGAAGTGATGTTCGTTATCACGACCATGGTGCTAGTTCGATTCCGCCTGGGCCAACCAAGCCTCTCAGCCCTCCGCGGTGGAGAAATTGGCACCGGACATGTTTGGGAAAAAATCACTCTCTTCAATCCAATTGAGAACGCTCCAGCTTGGCTATCTCAGGGCTCCGGCGAAAATATCTTAACCAGCATTCTGCGACATTCAAGATGAAATGAAAGTCCTCAAGCTGCAAGCGAAGCAACGAAGTGCTGGGATCCGCACAGTAGACGTTAAGACGGACCAAATAAAATAAAATAAATCTGTTTTGGGAGAGTACTGCAAGCTTATGGTAGAATTTTCAATAGTTTAGGAATGCACTAATAATGCTTGGAAATTTAAACTCACAAGGGACATCTGTCTTGACGGACAGTCCAAAACTCAAACTCACAATCCAATCAGGAGCTGCACGACGAATTAACAAAGAAGAACCAGCACTAACCACCGGGTACTGGACATCGAATTGCAGGTACTACGCACCTGTCTACGAAGCAAACAAAACCAGATGTTCGCTAAGTGGAAGAAGTGCGAGAAGAAAGAAAACCATTGTGCTCAGTATTTGGAGGACCGCCTCTGGAGGAGAATAGTGGGTGGATCAGTGTTGATTTGCAACTCTATTAGGTTTAATGCTGAAGTAACTTTGTGGAGAAAACTGGAAGACATTTTGAGTAAATCGCATAACACGGCTTCAAGAGCATACAGAAACACCGCCGACGAAGATCAAACGAGTCACAGTAGGATAAATAACGTGCAAAGAAATTCAAGGCTAAGCGTGCTAGGAGGCATAACCCTCCCTAACGGTGCGCGCTCGTTATTAGAATTGGGACCGAGTTTCTCACCATTTGAACCCATTTCTAAGGTAACCTTGCGTAGGGTCGCATGTAGTTTACATGAACTTCAAGATAGACTCCGCAAAAAAGCTAAGGAAGAAGTGCAAAATAGGCACGAACAACAAAAAGTAGGGACAATACCAGTACCACCATTTCGCCAACCGTTCTTTAGGCAACAAGAGGGCAATAACGAAGTTGACATTAAATTTTGGACGTTTACGAATGAAACTTTCAAACCCCTCAATCACTGTCGCGCCAAGAGATACGGCTCCAACCTCACTGAAATACAAAAACGTGGTATGCGGGAGGCACGAGAGCTGAAAAGATCGAAAAACATAGGACTATCGATTAGTGATAAGGGTGGAGGGTTCGTTGTAATTCCCAATCAGTTAGATGTTGAGATAACGGAAAAGCACCTTGAAGATGCTTCCCTTTATCGTCCGTCGTCTGAGAGGGAATTTAAAAGTTAATACCGAAAGTTAAGCAACGAATGGGTTAAAGTGGCAAGAGCGGCTGGGTTAAAGCCATCAGTTATCTCTCATGTCAAAATTGACTTACCAACATGACCCGTCCTGTACTTACTTATCAAAACCCATAAGTTAGTATCCAGCGATGATCTCGTGTCTACCGATCCATCGCTATTTAAGGTTAGACCTAATATTAGCGGTGTGGACGGGCCAACGGATAGAATAACGTGGTTAATAACCCTAATACTTACTCAGTTGTTGAAGTACATTCCAGCTCATCTAACGAGCACCCAAATGTTCCTGCGTCATCTACGCAACGCGCGACCCAATAGCGCGTACGTGGTGGAGCCTTTCGACGTCACTGCCCTCTATACGAACCTGTCGAATGACTCCGCTATGCAAGTCATCCGCGAGCTCTTTATACAACACGAAGGAGCAATAAACTTGTACGGCTTCTGGATTCAGCAGTTGATGACACTCTTAAAGGAGTGCCTAAACTGCTCAATCTTCTCATAGTCCGGGAGGTACTACGCACAAATGAGAGGGCTGGCAATGGGACAACGACTGGCACCAAGCCTTGCCATTGCATTCATGTCTGAGGTGGAAGCGCCAGTAATCGACTTCGGTTCGTTACTCTACTGTAGACTGCTTGGTCATTTGTTCAACATAAGGAGAAATTGACGGGAGCTGTTGAACGAACAGTCAGAGCATATTAAATTCACCCGAGAAAAACCTAAAGAAAACTGGCTTCCATTTCTGAACGAGCAATTTAGCCTATCAGAAAACGGCTACATTACGAAGTGGTATCGAAAGCCAAGTAGTAAAAACATCCTGGTTCGTTACCTCTCCTCTCACCCCTCTCACACGAAAAGGGCGCTTGTGAGAAACATGTTTCGAACAGCTACCAGCGTGTGCACAGGAAAACAACAGAGAGAGGAGTCCCGGAACTTGGCGCAACAAATAGCCATTTTTAATGGCTACGAAACCGTAGTTCGAGATAGGTGTAGAGGAAACCACAGGTACCCCAACCATAACTCTAGCGACAATAAGGTCTGGTTTATACTGCCCTTCATTTCAAATGATGTAAGTGCGGCTATAAAACGCTGCTTAAGAAGGGCGGGTCTAGCGAATTCGGTAAACGTAGTTGAAATGCCATCGAGTAATCTTAGGCGCCAGCTAGTTCGTAACCGCCTATAAGACCGTCTATGTGCAACGCAATATTGCATAATTTACCCCAAGGGCAGAGACGGTGACCGCATGAGTTCGGGCTGTTTGGCCTTGTAGATTGCAGTCAACTTGACCTTTCCAGGCTCTGAGGAAGGCGAAATCCGCCCAAACGTCGGCTTGTACGTAAATAAAGAAATAAAATAACACTTCGTGTTTGCTGAACAAAAATGGAAAAAATTAACAAAATACAATTTACGTTCTACGTTACAACACTTTAAAAAGCATGACTTCCAAAGCCGTATAACACTCGAAATGGGAAACGTATCCGCATGTCCAGCTGCGACCGCCCCGTTTCTCTACTAAGACCCTGTTTTCAGGTGACCGAAGAAAGTAATCATCGAGTGTAAAACGTCAGTGTAAAAGGTAATCCATGACTCCCACTCTATTTTACGTGACATGTCCACTTGTCCTTATACTATCACTGTGAAACTTATGGTTCTACCCTACAGATTCCACGTTTTATCTTGACGCTTAATATTCATTTAATCCACTAACAATCCGAAGCTGGTTCTCTTCAAATGACCGTCTTTTCTTTCCACATCCTACCTGCTGAAATTGCTTTTCTAACCAGATTAGAATTAGCCATTGACAAGCATCACTGAATCCACCCATTCCGCTCAATCTGAATGCTCTTTATTTAAGTAAATGATGACATTCTTTAGAACTAACATAACGTTGCAAGAGGGGTTGGGTCGATAGCAAGCTTGGTTATCCGAGAAGTGAGCAGTGCGACAGATCGTGACCAGACGGTTAAGAATCCAAATTTGTATATTGGGTGTTTGAAACGTTATGAAACCTGGCTTAAATTGGCTTATCAGAATATGATCCATTTAAGAATGAAATGGTCATAGGATCATTAGACAGCTACTGCTCACCTGTCGGAGCACAAAAGCCATCTATGAGTTTCGATTACCAAATTTCACAATTCTGCTACAACACCATTGTTGATGCAAATAGAGCATCCGATGAATTATTACCATGTCGCCTAAACTGAACATAAACCTTTAAGTAGAAGCGAAAGAAAACACCCGATCCGGTTGCGCGCCTTCCTCTTCGACTCCACGACTCTTCTTCAGAAGTTGAGACTTTGCGTTAGCGGAATGAAAGCGTGTAATCGAAATGTTATCGATAGCATGTTACTTGAGATATCGCACATAACTAAAGGAAGAGATGTATAGAGAGAGAGCAGCAGCTTCCTATTAAATGGCCTACGTCGACCATTATGTATCATCGTGGTGCTTCTGCATACCTCAAAATATCGTATATTTGGCGTATCGAGTAAATGTGACGAGCATTCTCAATAACCTCAAGGCATGATATGAGTTCTTAGCCGATCCACGTTTTGTTCAGCGAACAACAAAAGCCGTGCCAACTTAATAGCCAACCTAATCAACAAATATGCTTGACGACAAAATATGTTGCCTTTGCACAGATCTATGACACGATAACGGTTAGCGAATGATTCATTAGTGTCTGCCCGCTTCACTTGACAATGAACAGATTAAGGTGTGGTGCAAGTTAAACACTCTCGTTCATTGTAGCTGCGTACTAGTTCAAACACTTTGACGGTTATCTAAAGATAATGTGGATTGCAGCACGATGTCAAAGAAGCTGGTATTTTGCTGCTGTAACAAGTTTTGTCATTGAAAGGGTTGTTCTTTGTTTTGATGAGCTCGTATACAATAAAAGAGTGGTTTGCAGGAAATCTGGAACAATCGTCAAAAATTCGGAGTACCCAATAGGGCAGTGTAGTTTCGGCAGTCAAATGCTGTTGAAACTACTTCAGCAGCAAATCATATTATCGGCCTTGACGAATCATGAACCGAAGCATGACCTTATTGAGCATCAGCACCGAAAAGCACAAAAAAAAACAGAGCGAGTAGAAAAGAAACAGCAGAACATCTGTGTTGCGCGAAGGTGAGCCTGAAAACAAAAAATGAGATTAAACATGATTCTGTCATCATGTCCTAATGGGCCATTCATCCACAAGTTGTTTAGGTCAGAGGCGAATGCTAGAGAAAGAAATCGAGTACAGCATCTGGCCGATATGTTCGAACGACTTAAATCCGTCTTGCCGATTGAGTACGATGTGAAAATATCAAAGTTGGCAACACTAAGGGTGGGTATCGATTGAATTCTGTACCCAAAAAACAATGACAAAAGATAACAGCTCAAACAAATGCAATGTCTTGCAAGTAAGTGGTACTTTTTATTTCACGAAAAGTTAGCAGTCACTAAACCTAGATTGCACCGAAAAATTCTGCCTTTATCTTTGATTGATAAGCAGTAATTTTTTAAAACGATCTGTCTTCATATCGACTGTCATGATCCGAGAACTTCTTGCACCCGATTCGCTTCCTCGCATCCATTACTCGCGAAGGTGTTGGTGTTCCAACTTTTTTATTTGCGTATGGCCGCTGTTGGTTGAGGATTACGGTCTCACTTATAAAGGTGGCTGAATTCCGATCGAGCCCATTCTCCCTTGAGTCTTACGATAGCCGAGTTGGAGCATCTCCACTTAGATTTCAGCGCGTGAACAATTCCCGATGACCCTGATTTCGATTTTTCCACCGCAAATGGATGAGAGGTTTGGTGTGCTTCGTACGAAGTCGAACAATCACCGAAGTCGGAATGAGCAGCTTTGCTGCCACTGCTCTATCCATTATCTCGCAATAGTCAATAGCGACAAATTTCCGCCAAGGCAATTTTATTACTAATTCTTTTCATTAATTACGGCCTGAGAACGTGATAGAGTTATAGAAGAGACTTTGTTCTATCGTTCTGGAAGCATCCCTAGTAGGCATGCCGGCATTTTTTATATCTTGCTATGGTCCAGCATGCAACCAAATTACTGCCAATATTCCGAACTGTTCAGAAGCCTATATTTAGTCTACTTCGGTATTTTTATACAGACTTATTCTATGTGACAACTAAGGTTCACCACGCTGATTGCAGTTACAATAACACTCAATTACTAGTCAAATCATCTGTTAGTGAATTTGCTTGGAAACAACTTCTTCCCAGCTTCAAAGTGCAGAATGTAGTTTTTCCCAGATGAGACCCACACCAACAAATGTACTGGATATGGGCTGAGTGCAAAAAATGCGGCAAAAACTACGATGCGGCAAAATAAATCACTACCAGTAATATGCATGGGGTACAATGCACACACAACACTACGGCCACCCATGCAATGTTGCACCAAAATAATCTTGCCTTAACGTGTTAAGAAGCTATCTCTTAAGTTTTAATCCTTAGCAGTGCTATGATGCTGAAGAGTTCCTTTTAAACAAAATTCTTTCAGATCGCCTCCGCCTACATCGGCTATCTTGGCTGTGTCTTGGATACAGGCAACGTGTTCCGTCTGTTAGAAAGCGAGCAACATCTGATGCTTAGCATTTGTGAAGCGAGGATGTTTTCAAGAAAAGTTTAACTATTATTCTCAAAAACCAAGAACTAGAGTAGCCTTCGATTTTCTAAATCGCCATTGCATTTACGACGACAGAGATAAATTTACTGCTTAGTAACAAAATAGTTGTTAATAAAAGAAATTTTTCAATAGACGTGACCTAATGTGAGCAAAAAAGATTGAGGGATCATTTTGTATGGTTACTGCTAACTAACCAGTAGAAGAAATTTATATTAGGTATTTGTGAGGGCCTTTAAGCCTGTACCGTATCTCAAACTCTAATCTTTTGTCTCAAAATTGGTTGGTTTTTTCAAATTTGCGCTGCCTAGTTACCATCGTTTAAAATTTCTCTGCACTAAGTTGAACTGATCTCTTATTCACACTCTTACCTCTTTTTATCCTCGGCCTTACCACGTTCATCTTCTGCAGGTTTTTCCCCACGACGACAAAAACTCTGCAAACTGTTTCAGTTTTCTTTTTTGTTTGTGTGTTTAAGCTATGTAAATTGTACCGGTGAACGCACTAATAAAGCTGTTGCCGCAGTGACGAGGAGTCCGCAACGTTGCTGATATGATTATAAAATAACTCAGTGCATAAACCGGATTGCAAGCTGAAAACCGTAACAATGTAAAGTCCTACTGAAGGGTTGTTTGGTTGTTTCTATATGCTACACACTGAACGACTTTTAGCATATACTTGTCTATGAGAGGAGATAAACGAGCTGAAAAGCAAGAAACCGAAGACGGAACGGAGGGTAGGGTCTTCTGAAACAGACGTGCCTGCAGCTTTTGTCAACCAGCAGCCGATAAGATTTGTGGATCACTCAGTGGTACTCAAAAACGTTATGCATAAAACGGTTCATTAAAATGGCTGATGAAAGCGACGAAGCGAATCGAAGGAAAAATCTGCACAACTTACAAGGACGCTCTTTCCAAATGTCTAAGTAACTATCTCAAGCCTACATGCTAGGACAGATAGTAGTCGATGGAACGATTCACAATTCGCAGTTGAACTACCATGATGCTGAAATATTTGCGGAACTCCCGACAGCACGTGCCTGCGGTGAGGATCGAACACTATTACCTTTTCCGGTGGCAAACGCATTCGCCACCACACCATGCTCGTCCTTCGTTTCGCCTTTCTCTGAGCCAGTTTTCTATCTACCAGTGCCATCAAAAATCACTCATCAATTTGGGTTCCCAAGATCAATCCTGCTGACAGGTAAATAACACCGATTAATAGAAAGCTAGCTGAGAGACAGGCGAAACGATGGATCCTCATGGTGTCGTGGTGTGCGCTTTAGCCCCGGAAAGGGTAATAGTTTGTGCGATCCTCACCGCAAGCACCTGCCGCTCGCACTTTTCCAAATATCTTCTCATCATTGTAGTTAACTTCTCATAAAACCATAGCGTGAAAATTATAGCCGGCAGTAAATAAAGAAGGTTAACATTGTGATTTCTACGGCCTCAGCTCAACCGGGTTCAATGTCGATGTGGGCTCCCTAGATCTATCACGTTGACGGGTGATTGCTGATGGCTCTGGTAGATAGAAAACTGGTGTTGTGGTGAACGCGTTAGCCTCCAGAAAGGGTAAATGGTGTGTTCGATCTCCACCGTAGGCACCTCCTGTTCCGAGTTTTGCAAATATCTCAGCATCATTGTAGTTGATTTCGCATAAAACCCTACTGTGGAAACTGTAGTAGGCAGTAGATAAAAAGGTTAACATTGCGAAATTAAAACTCTTTGCGACTCAAATCTTCGTGTTTTTCCTCATTGGATAATCCAGGGATCTGAGCTTCGTGATTTTGCATTGAAGTCCTTTAATCGCATTAATCCTATTGATATAGCTTCAATGATGCTAAGATATTTGGAAAACTCCGGTCCGCAGGTATATGTGGTGGGGAACGAGCGCGCTATTGTCCTTTCCGGGGAGTAGCGCATTCACCACCACACCATGCGGGTCCTTTGTTTCGCCTGTCTCTCAGCTGTTTCTATCGATCTTTTGCCATCAGCCATCACCCGTCCTATTGATATAGATCTAACGATTACTTCGGGTTTTAAGCAAGCTTTACATTGGGAAAATCTTTCCAATGACATGCTCTTGTATTCATTATCTTTCACTAGTAGCCAGTTCGAGCGATATAAGCACGTATGAGTTTGACCATTCTTTGCAACGATCCTTAGATGACAGACTGTAACGATGTGGCTTCTTTTATTCATTTTCAAAAAGAAATGCTTTTTTGGCACTTCATTTTAGATAATGGTCCAGAAAAGTAGTGCTCAGGGATGCCATGAAACACACAAATGGTTGCTGAGTAGCGTTGCCCGAGTCGATTGTCCACAGCCGGTCACTATCGCGATGTGGGTGGTCGTTGTCAGTTCAAGTCGAACCCAGTGGAGTGGGAGCATGCTGAAATGGGAAACTTCACTCAGCGGTGCTCCTAATTGTAGTGAACAGGTGTCAGTCGATTTCCGCCACCCAATATGATCTCCAATCTGGCTGGAAATGTGTCTTGTAGCAGTCAGTGCTTCATTTGTTGACACATTGCGTGGCAAACAATATCTTAAAAATTGACACTCATTACGCTTCGATAACAAAAACCACCAATTTTCCTAGCGATCAGGATATGTATATATATGTGTATATACTTATACGTTTGGGCGCGTATGACGCAGTGATCGGATGTGCCCTGCAAAACACACGTGGAATCGACACCTGCGCACCAACCCTGTAGTGACAAACATGACCTTTCATCCTTATGGATGCGGAAAATCGCTACTACATTCTTGGAAAGATAACGTCAATGAGCTGATTCATCGGTAGGCCACGCAAGTCACTGCACAAGACAGAAGTCAGGCCAATCAGCTCTTGAACGCTTAACAAATTTAAATGTATGGTGTATGAAACGCGTGTGGCGCAGTGGTTGAAGGCGCCATTGCGACGCACACACACACACACACACACACACACACACACACACACACATGGAATCGATCCCTGCACCCATGGCCCACCAAACCTTCCAACCCGCCGGGTCGGCAAATTGGTACCAGACTTTTCTGTGAAGATAGTACCACTGGCTCGATACATCGGTAGTCCACAGCGAGTCATTGTGAAGGCCGAATATGCATTCAAACACTTCTAAACGTTGCTTAATAATGTCGAATGCATGGCACATCCGTCAAAATCTGACCAACGCCGAAAGCTTCATTTTATATATATA